CTTCATAATCACCAAACAACTTAAAGAAACTGGCGTTTGATGTGATTTGCAAATACACCCTTCTAATCTTAACTTGTATCCTGAGCACAAATATTATGATAATGACGAAGATCGTCAGCGTACTACTCACTTAAAATTAGAATGTATTTTGATTTATCGTTTTGTGTGTGTTCCTAACCTTTACAGAAATCTGGATTCTAACTCTATTCGCAGTATTGACGAGGATGCATTTTTCAGGCTTGCAAGTTTAATTTTTCTGTAAGTTTAACGCCACTGTTGAAACGGTTCGCTATTATAGATCGATGAACATTAACCGTTTCAAAGAAAAACCTCCATTACATTGCCCAGGGAATTCACATGCAAATAATACAGCTGAGGATTGGTCAACATTTCAACTCTCTGCTGAAAAAATGCCGCGTTTTTTAAATTTGTATATTTTTGTCACAATTTTCGGTTAGATGTGTTTATATTTATAATGGTAATTGAACTGAATGGAGTGCAATTTGGTCTGAAATCACAAGTATGATTTCAGACCAAAATTGCACGACACGAAGTTCAATTGCCACTTTATTAGATCCATTTTGAAATCGCACAATTTCGTGGCCTTAAATTTTAAATTTTTGGTGTATTGTTCCAGTAGCCGGGTTGGTTAAAAAAAGCGGAACCGGAAACGCCTTTACGTCGCATTTAGTATGCAAAACGATGTCATGTGACGAAAACTCATTCGAACATGACAAAAAAACAAGCAGTGCTGAAGTCAGAACGAAAATAGTCTACTTCAGGTATAAAAGTTCAATTCTCGTCGCCTAAATCAATTATGGAAGGTCTTCCTTTCTTCTGTGGTTGAGGCTGAGACTTTTCATTGTGTTTGGAGAAGGAATTTGAAGGTGCGTATCCTGTGTAATTCTGCGATCGATTTCTGAGTTGTGAAACTCCCTCGAGTGCACGATGCCCAGTAGATAGTACGTTTTTTTTTTCTTTTCAGTAAATGCCGTTCAATGGCATGATTTTAAGGGAGTCCAGCTCGTTATCATCTCCATTTCTTTTTGTGACCTCGGCGT